ATTTCTTCTGCAAGCACAAAGGCAAGAAAAAATATATTTTTTGTAAAAGGCCAGACCCTCACCTCATCTCAGGTTGCCAGGACCCACAGGTCTAAAAGCACCCTGAGGTGCCTAAAAAAAAAAATCACAAGAATTAGTAGCTTAGTGCTAAATAAACTTGTCTCCAAATGGAGTTTTGATTCCCAAGTACATTGACTTGGCTGCTATTCTCTTTAAAACTGGAACCTGAGTAAGTGTTGGATTTCTCTTCTCTTCAGTGCTCTTTTGTTTCATGTACAGGGGAACAGTCATTATTCAGAAAGTAGTGTGATAACTTCCTTGCAAGTAAGTCAAGAATCTCTTCTTCCCCTTTGAAATGCCTTAGATTATGAGATAGTTTCAAGTTAAAAAAATGCCAAGGAATGAAATTTCTTCAGATGTGTCCTTTGAGTCAAAGATGAAAGTGATGCCCAGCAGGTACGGGCTAGCTGTAGTCAAAGAGAAGATGAACTCCCAGCAGAAGCTGTGAAATTCACTCCCTCTGGTTTAGCTACTATGTAAGACTACACTGTTCTCTATTAATAATCTTTTTTTTTTTTTTTTTTTTCCTGTGCACTGGTTATACCAATATAAATATGCAATAAATCTGCCTGTGAATCTGCCCTTTTATCCTAATTATCCTGGTGCTTATGGTGCTTTCCCTGAGAATAGGACAGACCACCAAAGACTTCATACGGTGACCAAGTGCCATTAAGGGATTACACATCTGCACACCTCTGCAGCAGGTGAAGGACAGGGCTGTGAGAGGGGGCACTGGCTTGGACCTTGGGAAGATGATCTTCCAGGTTTAGCAATGATCTGCTGATATATCTGTGAGCATTTAGCATCTTCTGCCTCAGTAAATATTATAGTCTGGGAAAGTTCATTGATATTCTATGGAATTATATGTTTGAATTCAATGCTACGAATGCAGAAAATCTAAGATCCTCTTTCAGGAGGTGGAAAATTAACATGGAGAGGCTGGGTAAGCATCCAGACCAGAGATGCTGGCGGTAAAAGGAGTGTTTCTGAGAAAACCTCTTTCATCTCCTGCAAATCTGTACTACCCTTAAGCCCATATTCCTTGATTGCCTTCATGCCAACCTCAGGGAAGGGAAGCTCAAGCTCAGTTTTGTGATGCTGACTCTATTGCCAGCTCCAGCTTCCCCAAGAAAGCTGTGCATGCAGAATAAAGACATGTCACAGCCTGCTCTGGTCAGGCAAGTTAGAACACAATTTTTTTGGTGCTACAACATAATATCAATGTTGCACATTCAAGGGTCCTTTAATGGATATCAGGAAGGAAATGCCATTGTTGTCTGACTTGAAAAATTAACTCTTAAAAATTAACAGCGTTCCCAGTAGATCTCTAACTCACAGTCCTCTAAGATTGTTGAGGATCAGAGCATTCCCAGGCTACTTCTTGTCTCTAACTTCACAAGTATTTGCAGACGAATCTGGTATCTTTTTATCCCCCTCTAATACCTGGGAAACATGAGTTTGGAAGATCAAATGACTTTCCCCAAGCACCTAGCAGTCCCGTGACACAGTCTCCTGGCTCAGCTCCTGGGGTCCTGGCTATCATCACAGCTCCTCAGACCACAGCAGTTCCGTTGTGTTATGTGAGAAGCTGTAATAAAATAGCTTATTTCCATGCTTTCTGAGTATCCTGTACTTCGTGTACCTCCATCATGCCAGTATGGCTGGCAGTAACCCAATAAGCCCGTGCTGACTGCTGCATACCCAACCAGCAACCAGACAACACCGTAACCCTGCCATGCAAAGTGCTTTAATGCACTCCTTCTAAGTTAACTAAATGTTGCTGCTGTTCTCTGATAAATAAAAGCCCTCTAAACTGTTCCCAGTGGTACAGTACTGATCAGGGAGAAGCGTATCTCAAGGCAACTCCTTTACGTTGAAGTTTTATATAAAGAATATGCTGAAGCTTCACCATAAATAATTAACTCTCTTTTTAAATTATTAATGCCGTTTGTTGATAGCTTCTGTTTTGCTTATGGTGTTTCAAAGATGTTGTCTGAAGGCAAGTATAGATCTTATCTCTGATGAAAAAAAGCTTTGAAAATAGTCTAACACCTTTGCAGTTGAAAGTCTTCCTCCAGACAGGGACTTTCAACTGAAGTGTGCTGTCTGCGAGGCAGCGCTCCTGAGGAGGAAGATCTAAAGATCAAAACAGAGCACAGCAAAGTCACTGCAAACAAATCTGTTCTGTGTTTGACCAGCTAATGTCAACCACTTACAAATCCCAGAATTTTTGTTCTAAGGCCACAGTCAGAAGTATGCAATTATTGATAGAGATGGTCTGAGGCAATAATTGGCATTATTTCCACACTAACTAATACTGAAAGTGTTAATTCAAGGCAGCTCAGTGCTGAGCAATGAGAGAGCAGTCTGTAATACTTCATTTTCTTTACTGAAGAAAGAGCATATGGGCATCAAGGCTGATGGCATCTAACAAATGAGTACTATCCCCGTTTCTGGAGCCAATCATGAGGCTGCAGATAATTAGAACTGCATTCTTAAGCTCGTAGAAATGTGACAAAGCTTTTCCAATTATTCTTCTGTTTGGAAAGACTCAAGGTTTCCAACCAGCTGATGACGGGGCACCGAGAAGAATCTGGAGCATTCCAGTCTCGACCCTCCACAAAACAGAGGGCACAAATGCCACAGCTCTGGTGCCAGCTTTATGAGTCAAATACCTCCCAAAGCTCACTCTTCTAAGAATGGTCCTGCGTGGCCAAGAGCAACTTTTGTTGTCAGCCTCGCATCCTCTGCTCCTGATAGCTCCAAGCTGATCCTTCACAATATTTCTGTGCTGTTCCTTGATGCAGCTTGGTAACAGCATCTATCTGCCCTGCACTGAACACTAGGGATTTCATTTTAAAATAAATATATAAATAAATAAAAGGTTTATGTTAAAGGAAACTGAGAAAAATGAAGTATAGAATAATAATAATAATAATAAAATCTCTTCCTTACAGTTGGAAAGTTGACAATTGACAGCTTATAAGCAGAGTTCCAGATGTGGAAAAGCACCCCTCCACATCCTTGCCTTCATGCCGATAGTAAAATAACCACTTTCAAAATGCAGAATTAAATTGCCTCCTGTTACTGCAGTAAACCTGCAGATGAGCATGGGTAATCTGTTGTACTGAACACAGGCGTCTATTGTTTGTGTCATTATCTGCTGAGCACAGATTCCAGCACTGAACACAAATGCAGGGCATTGGTATGCCAGAGCTCCTGCGCTCCACGGCTTGTGTTAAATGGGTTCACATAAGTGCTAGTGTAAATGGTCAAGCTCATTATTCCCTCCCAGGAATATGCTCGCTGGGTTTCAAATGAGAAGGAAGTGCTTCTGTTGACTCCTGCGGCTTCTTCAGACACCCAGAGCAGCACTTGCCTGCAGCCCTGTCACTGCAACGCGGCCTCCAGTCAATTAGGCCATTTCAAAATGCAAAAAGAATATTTGGTGTCACCAGCAGATGGTGAAGCTCTGGAAGGAGATAGTCTGGATACATTTTCAGGGAAGAAGAATGAAAGAATAAGCACATAGAACTGAAATGTTGCTATACCTTAGAACAGAAATGTGGTTTTCTGGGTATGTTTTGCCTCGGCTGAGCAGTGGTGTACGAGGGGGCATTTTCCTGCACTGGATCACGGTCCTGTCTGCTGCAGTGAAATTTCCAGAAGACTCTACTCCTGGCACAGCCTAAACAGAAAAATCAAAGTCCTGAGAGCTCCACACCCGTATAAAGATGCGTACATCTTCTCCCCTCCTCCTGGTGGTATAGCACCTACCTCACATTGTGTTGGGGCACTGGTCTTTTTTGGGTGACTGGTCCATATTCTAAATGGGGCACTTTCAAAACTACAATATTACCTTCGGCTTGCTTTTGTATCACACTATTAGTTCAGATCCTTATCTTAGCAAGTTAGCATCAAAACGTCACCACATGATCAAAGCACTGGAATTTACACTACTTTCCCTCTTTGCTTGAAGAAGTGAAATTATTAACTAGGTTATTAAAATAAAATTTTAACACTGTATGCATTTAGAACATTTTGCTTCCACTAATTAATTTCCAACTGAATGCCCTGCCAGAGGATCAGCTTACTACTGAAACAGAGGTCACAGCATGCAGAAGCTTAATTGGAAGAGAAGAAGTCCCAGAGGGACACAGCCCCACTGCATCCCCACACCGGGCTGGACCAACAGCTGCCACAGGCCAGGCAGAGCTGGAACTGCATGAGATTGTGCAAATACAGCTGCAGGGCTTTGCTGCTGTGGAGCTCTGTCCTCACTGCAAGCACCAGAGCATGCACAGGAATGTGTTATCTTCATAACGAAGAGCCTGTCCATGTGGCCTTCAGCCAGAGAGGGGGAAGGTTATGGGAACAGAGGTTGTGCTCATCCAAGGGGCCACATCCCACCTGCCTGACCACAGTGTTGGGAGCCACCATAGATGTCCCTGCTTCCTCAGCCAGGATGTCCACAGTCAGGCAGGGCTAACCTGGCTATCATGGAAAGGGGATACCAGCACGCACAAGTTCATTTTAGCGATCATTAATCAATATGACCGGGCATGTGACAAAACTCATCTGGAAAAAGCATCCATAGTTCAGTCACTTGCTGGGAGAAATTAGATTGGCATCCATCTTCTGCTGTCTCTTCCCTTTTTTAAGGGAAGCATGTGAAGGACTTGGTTTCAGGGACATCAGTCCATCAGCTTTGTCTGCAGGATATGGGACACAAACCTCTGAGTTCTTCCTTGAGGCTACAGGCTGATCCAGTAATAAGTAACTCAATGTGCAACATCCCCAATTTATAATCAAAATTGAATATTGGATTATTTTAATGAAATTTCTCAGATCTGCCACTTCTGCTAATTTGGCAGTCAAAGGACTAGGGAAATTTCCCTGTGGAAAACTTTGTAGTAGTATCACCAAATTAAAAAGCAAAATTCAGGTCTTCTTTAAAGCAATTTTAATTCAGTTTGCTAAAAAAAAAAAAAAAAAAGCCTCTAAATTCTACCAGCCATCTTACAATACTACCAAAAGACTATTGTACTATTTTTGCAGAAAGAAAAGGTAGCAGTTCTTCAAATTCTCTTCTTTTAGTACAGAGATGAAAGGTCTTTTTCTTTACAAAAAGTTGCCAGCTCTTAGTAGACCATAATCCTTGTAATGGAGTCTTAAGGTTAACTGTCTGGGATGGGATATTTGTCTTTTGAAATGTCTTTCATGTTTGGATAAATCATTCCCTTCCCTCGATGCAGTACCTTCTTTTTTCCCAGCCATCGTTCAAACACCATCAGAAAACCTGTGAAGGAACTGTAGAGGAGAGACAACAGACGAAATTACAAGGACTTTTGCAAACACCTAAAGAAAATGCAGATGGGTGTTTGACGCAACATTTTACTGCAAAAATGTTTTATTAGCAATAGTCAAAGTAGGTCACTAGAGTCTTTGAAGTGGCTCTCTCAATCCACTGGGTGACACCACAGAATTTGCAGAATTTGCAGAGCAGAATTAAGGGGTGAGGAGTGTGCTCTCCAAACTCAGCGCCTGTCCTCTACTAAAAATAGACTTCAGTGAAAGAAAGCAGGACCCAGGTATGCGCATGGGCTTGACATTTAAGAGGCTGTCGCCACACTGGCATTAATGAAGTTTGCACTAACACTCGTCACTGCTTGTTCCTGGATGAAGTACATACGGATTCCTGGCACCCAAAAGATTCACTGCAGAAACAACACAGCAGAGGGGAGAAAAGGACATTAAGAAGGCATCTGTTTTGGGGGTGGGGTGGGACTCAGTCTCCTGAAATGGTGTCACAACAGGATTGTTCTGCTCATCCAGACCCTGGACAATGGAAGAACTGCTGGGTCCTCCCTGTTCTACTTCACCTGAGCTATCTGGTGGTGCAGCTCACCTCTACCACAGCTTTCACCTGATAAAACACAGAAAATAAAACCAAAGGCCATCAGATCCTGTCCTGTGCTGACTGGTCTTCCCCGGACAAATTTGGGGAGGATGAGCAGAGACCAGAAGCTCTTCATGGAAGGCAGATGCACAAGGCTCAGTTTTAAGGCAGGGATTTGACCCACAGGGACAGGAGCTGTGTCACACCACCTGTAGGCAGGGGCTTCTTCAAGCACCACTCCACATGGGCAGCAAGGGCAAGGCTGCACCAGCCTGGGCTCCCATCGCCCTTGGCAGAGTCCAGCAGTCTCCTAGAAGACCTTGCCCATCAGACAGCCCCTCAAACCATGTGTCAGGGCCTGAAAGATGCATCCTGAGTTTGAGGACATAAAACCATTCTTCTGGTGGACTACAACTCAGCCTTCACACCTTTTCAGACTCTGTGAACAAAAGGAAATCTCAAAATAATAACTAACATCCTAAAACCACTGAGGATTTCCATAGAGACCAGGGAAGACCAGGACTAAGTACTGTGCAATGGACTTGGAAGCAAACATCATATGGACACCACACGGGCAGGATCCGGTGTCACTCCCCACTGGATGCAGTTTGCTCCACTTCAGCAGAGCTCCCTTCCAGGAAACCAGAACCTGAGCACCAGCCACAGTATGTGACATTTTTTAGTTCCCCAGAAAAATACTTACTGCAAGTCTGAGTGTGAAGAGACACCTAGCTGGAGAATTCCTTTTCTTTTTCCTTCCTGGTAGACCAACCTCCCCAAGAAGAAGTTGTTTTTTTACAGCATGTGGCAAGAATTATATTCATACCAAGCATATCAGGGAAAAGAAAAAAAAAAAAAAAAAAAAAAAAAAAAAAAAAAAAAAAAAGGAAATACAAGGCAAAGACTTAATGTGGTGATCTTTTGGTGTTTCCCAGAGCCTGCTACGTACCAACTTCTATGAAACCATCAATGCCTTTCTCTGTGCAGAAGCAAATCCTCTGGTAGAAGCTGCAGCTCTTCCACTTGTGCTAGAAAATTGAACAGACCAAGTGTGGTGGTTTTACCCTGCTGGGCAGCTGAGCTCCACCACAACCACCCTCTCACTCACCTTCCTCAAAGGAAAAGGGAGAGAAAATACAATTGAAAGAGCTCAAGGGTTGAGATAAGGACAGGGAGACTGCTTAATAATTACTGTCACGGGCAAAACAGGCTCACCTGTTTTAATAACATTTAATTTAAGATTAATAACATTTATTAATTATATTTATTAGAAATAATTATATTAACTATTAATTATAATTTATTGTCTATGACTAGCAGACTAGACTAGCAAGAACTAAAAACAAGCTAAAAACACCTTCTCCACATCCACCCTCACCTACCTCCTCCCCCTGAACAGCGCAGGGGAATGGGCAATGGGTCCCCAGCAGGCCAGAAGGCTGATGTGGCTCCAAATCCTATTGCATGGGCCTCATCTCTGCCTTTCCTGCTGCTGCAAATCCCTTTCAGTAGAATTCATCACCTGTGTATTTCAAAGGGGGTTTCAAAAAGTGAGGCTGGGCCCATGTTCAACTGGCATGTGAAGATGATTTTCAGCCTCGTACCTTCACCCTGTCCTCATGAGCACAGACCAGGTGGTGCTGCATGACACCCCAACTGCTGCAGTGGCTGCCCTCTGCAGAGCCCGAGGGACACCTCCCTTTGGCAGATGACCCTCAGCTGGAACCTAAGACCCAAAGCCAGTCATCCCAGCCATTGCACGTCTCAGCTGGGTTGGGCCTGTGGCTCCTGCCAGGCCTGGCGGTGGGCACAGCAGCATCCTAGTGCTTCTGTGCAAGCCAAGCAGGCAGATCCTTCCTGCCCAATGACTTAGACTAAGGAAAGCAACCAGAATAAAAGCCATATCTCTTCAGTGGAGCAAAGTGTATGTCACCGTTCACAAGCTGGTGCAGCTCAGAGATAAAATGGCATCTTGAGTCTGCACATATGAAAGTCATAGGTAGCCCTCTGATTGTTTTTCAGTAATACAGACGTTTCTCATGTCTGCACAACTAGACAAATACTGTAGGGAGGAAGGCACCATATCTTTGTGAATGCTGATTCCTGTTTGACTAAATTCATAACCTTAATATCGCATTAACACGGCATGTACATTTATGCTGTAATTGCATTCCAACTGCCTGAATGCTCCTCTTAATTTGCTCATGCTCATGCTCTGTTTTGTTGTGAGTTATAAATCATTCTTGCTCTCAAGAAACAAATTAATTTATGGATGCTACAAGAGATAGGATTACCAAGCAGGATTTTTATTTATTTATTTATTTATTTATGAGCACATGCAGTGTATAAACTTTATTAAATGAAAGTAATTTCTTCAGGGAAATCCAACAGGCACTTGCACTATGGCAGAGGGAGACAAATTACACAGATTTTTTAGCTTCAAAGAGCGTGGAAGTCTCCTTGTGACTGATTGGAAGGAGCTCTGCTGCAGATAATTCAGCAAAGCAAAAATACCAGTGATATCATGTACTGGTCCAGCTTTTCAATATTCACTGATTTTTCCAGGGCACAAACATTATGCACACATACATATTATCATCAGAAGCAATGGCTTGTTTAAGGTCGGTTGACGCTTTCTACTCCAAGCAAGCTTGGAGTAATAATTAAAAATCACAGAATCACAGAATCACAGAATTTCTAGGTTGGAAGAGACCTCAAGATCATCGAGTCCAACCTCTAACCTAACACTAACAGTCCCCACTAAACCATATCCCTAAGCTCTACATCTAAACGTCTTTTGAAGACTTCCAGGGATGGTAACTCCACCACCTCCCTGGGCAGCCCGTTCCAGTGCCTAACAACCCTTTCAGTAAAGAAATTCTTCCTAACATCTAACCTAAAACTCCCCTGGCGTAACTTTAGCCCATTCCCCCTCGTCCTGTCACCAGGCACATGGGAGAACAGGCCAACCCCCACCTCTCTACAGCCTCCTTTAATGTACTTATACAGAGCAATAAGGTCACCCCTGAGCCTCCTCTTCTCTAGGCTGAACAAGCCCAGCTCCTTCAGCCGCTCCTCATAGGACTTGCTCTCCAGGCCCCTCACCAGCTTCGTCGCCCTTCTTTGGACCCGCTCAAGCACCTCGATGTCCTTCTTGTAGCGAGGGGCCCAAAACTGAACACAGTACTCGAGGTGCGGCCTCACCAGAGCCGAGTACAGGGCTCTGTACTCATTTATAATTTTTTGTCATGTTAGTTAATTTTTCAAGGATGGGGTGTTTTAGTGGCTCAATAGTTTGAGACTAAAATGTAAAACATTCCTCACTTCATTACAAAGATCCATGTGTGGATGAGATATCTGGTTTCTTAAAAAACAGGAATAATCCATTAAAGCAAAACCCGTCTTTTGTGGAGGACTGACTGGCATCCATGCTCGTGTGCAGTCCTCTGTCTGCCACGTTTAACCTGTTTGCTACCATCCTCTCAGCCACGCACTGTTGAGTTACACCGTTGACTTCTGGAAGGCGCACTCTCAGAGTGCACTGTGCAGAATCAAAATAACTAGTTGTGGTGTCAGTAGATGGTGCTGAAGAGCAGCAACATCGACCTGGACTGCTGTAGCATCAAAAATATACCTGGAGAGTTGCAATGGCTTTTGCTAGCTGCTATTTACATAAATTTTCTGTGACCTGCGTTTCTGGGGATATTGCACTATTTCCAGCCTTTGATACAAAATCACCCTTAGTATTTCTATAAAATCAATTTAACATTCTTAAATAAACATGGCAACTTTTTTTTGTACAATAATAATATGCCTTTATTATCTTTTTTTGTTCGTCTTCTCTAATGCCTTCTTGGGATGTCATTTGTACTGTAATTCCAGTATTCATTATCTGCTGTCTTGGAATACTCTGGGTGTTCTGACACAGTGATTTATTAGAAAAAATACACCTTTATTACATCATTTTTACCTACTTATTCCCAGACTTTTTATGCCTTTGGAAACAGAGAAGCTAAATACATTTTCTGCTTTAAAAACTTGGTCTGAGACAGTGAAGCAACACACACACACATGCACACAACTCCCAATCAGTCAGCACTGCCTGATGCAAATAAATATTTAAGCCTATTTTGAAAAAGGATCTAGAGATGATCTCACAACTCTTTGCTGGTATATAAAGAGATGCTCTCACATCCAATCCAAGGTTCATTTCAGCTGCATGGGGAAGGTGCAGCATGAGATGGGAGAGCAGGCAGGAATGTGCAGAATGCATTTCTCCTCCCACATCTCCCACTGGTGGGGACATGGGCCAGCTTCCTTCCAGCTAAAAAGGTTTTCCCTCTTGATTTTCTCTCAGTTCAGATGCAAAAAATTGCAGTCACTAGTGGTGTAAGTACTGGCCACCCAATGCAGTGGGTATGTGGTAGGTATTCTCTTTGCTGTAGCCGCAGTGATCTTCCTGCCGTGCTGCATCAGCTCTGCTGCTGGTATCAACAGCCGAGGAGATCAGCTGGAGATCAGCTGGAGAAATAAAGTTTATTTTGAATACGGTGATGTCATAAGCTTGAGTTTGGTGATGCTGACCCCAGGTCCTACATTTAAGATGAAAATATCACAACTGTTCCCAGCTGGTGGCTTAACAAAAATACACCAGGCTTGAAGGGCATGGGAACCTGCTCCTGGAGGCTGCTAACTCTCAGAGAGCTCTGAGTTGTAACTTTCTCTATTCACTCTTTAAATGACCAAAAGGCAGCTCATGAAAAATAAAATAAAATAAAATAAAAATAAAAATCAATTCTCCTACTTCCAGAAAGGGTGAATTCAACATTACTTTGGGAATTTAATGTCATAAAGAGATGCTACAGCTTAACTAAAAATTACAAATTTGATTCTGAACAATTGGCTGCAGTGCCTTGACCTGTGTTTTACAAGAAAGTAGATTTTCCCTTCTGGCTCTTTTCCGTAAAATGTATAGCTTGCAGTCTTGAACAGTCTTTTATAAGAGAAAAAAATAAATTGCACCTGGAGAGGCATGCAAGATGCACATTTTGGACACCACTGCACACAAATCTTGCTGAACCTCCCATGGGCTTCCATAGCTTCTAAGCAAATCTCTCTTTCATCCCTCCCATAAATCGTTAATCTTCCAGCTTGGGTAGTCCCTTACTACAGACACTAATGCGTGTAAGAATGGGGCATTGAGCTTGGTTGGGATCTCCAGACCTGGGCTGATCCCACCCAAAACTAAGCACCCAAAATAATAAATCCTGATAAGGAAATATTTGCACCTCTAAGGGACAGCTGAATAGATCCCCCCAGGGGATCTCTAAAGAGAGAGCTCAGGATGGTGAGGCTCCAACACCTCAAATGCTGCTCATTTGATACTATAGGTTTAGGTGTAGCCCCAAGTTAAAAATTAAATTCTATAACATCACAGCTCACCAGCTTCGCATCAGCTCTAACAAGTAAGTTGCCAAGAACTTAAATCAGCTGTATTTTGGTGAAAGACCAAGACAGTCCCAGGAGACTTCACTTTGCATTTTTAGGAATCTTGTGTCTGCTTGCTCAAAATTGTTCATGACTGATCATGTAGCCTGTGCTGCGTCTCTCTGTCAAACTTCCTAAATTGATTGAAATAGATATTTACAAGACAGATATTTATAACTCGATGAAATAGCCCACAATACATAATGTGTGAGTGAACGCTGCTGACAAGGACCGATATGCTTGTCCCAGACATCACATCATATAGAACCAAGCGTGTGCAACATAGCAAAGGTCAAAAACCTTAAAATAGCTGATGTCAAAAAGCTCGTCTTCTCCCTCAGACTGTAGTGCAGATAATGTCACCACTCAATTACTGCCACACTAATTTTTCCTTTTCCAACACATCATGACATTCTGATGCCAGATACTTCTTGACGTCCTTGTAACCAAACCTTGGAGGGAGGCTGGATGTCACACATTTTTACTTGGATACTTGGGTTTAACGCAAGTGACAGCTGGACTGTTTCTCCACCTTACTCCAATATTAAAAAGATATTTGTGAAGGAAACTTCTACACACCTTCTCTCAGAGGTGCCCGATGATCTGGCATCTGTGATTCATTACCTGAACATTTGTCCCACCCATGGGACAGCCATCCCACGGAGAGCAGGCTCCAGGGAACCAGCACCCTGTGCTTTGGGGATTGCAAGGCCAGGCTTCAGGTACCTGTTCTGTCATGGACACACACAGGCAATGCAGCAGGTGCAGTCACTTCCTTTCTCTTGGGAAAACTTATTTTCTTGGCTGTGGGCAGCAAGGAAGGGTAGGACACCTGGCGTGAACAACCACTGAATTGTGGCTGGCCACTGTCCTGGGCTGCCTGAGGAGGCCCCAACCCCAACAGGGTCACACGGGAACAAATGAGAGCCTTATAGCAAGGGCATGGGGTCAGTGACAAAAGGACTGACAGAAAATATCAGCTTCTTCCTTATGGAAAGCTTGAAAGGCCTTCCAGACACTCTTGGTGACATTGATGCACACCCTGTTAGCTACCACTGGCGTGGCACAAAAACTTCTTGGCACCGAGCAGTATGAAGTTAGGTCACACCCTCTATCTGTGAAACATTTGGGAAGTTTTCAGTTCTGACTATAAACCAGCCAAGAGATGAACCTGTCCCAGTGTAAGCGATGAGGAATTGCCACAGGGACGGATGGGCTGGCACGCTGCAGCCCTGCTGCCTGCTCCAGGCAGCTCAGCAGAAGTCCCGCTAGGCCCCATCTTTGTTTGGGGCCTGTTTTTTTGTTTGAAACAGATTACAATCTGCTATTACAGTCCTATTTCAAAAACCCTAGAACAAATCCATAGTTGATAGGCTGTGCTTGTAATCCCACACGTGTTTTACCCAATTCTTTTTCCAGTGGTCTGTATGTCGAGAGGATTAATTACTGCTTATCACCACACCACACCGCACCACGGCTCTGTGTTTGAAGGCTGAGCCAGTACATGCTTCTGTGTACTTTCAGACAAAATTGGCGTTATGTTATCACTGATTGTACCAGTAATTATAGAGAATAAAATACATCCCCCTCAAAGGGAGCATTATACATGGTAGGGGGCTGAGTAGCCACACTAAAGTTAATCCAAATAAAAAATAATACCACATTTAGAGATATGACAGACTGCACCCCCATAAGCATGATCCTACAGCAGTGACTGTATGAGATAACCACTTAATTAAAACTTTTGGGTGTTTGCAGTACAAATGTAATGCCATCCAAACTTCAGTAATGGGTCTTTCCCCCTGGATTCTGCTGCAACAGAGAGTTCACACTCTTCGGATGCAGCCTGATCCCGCTGATGGATTTACATTTTGATGACGTTGTATTTGTACTGCGAACACCAAACTGTATGAGTTAGATGGTTATCCCATCCCATCACTACAACAGGACAAAGAGCATCCTTGTGGGAGTGTAGTATGTTACATTGCTGTGTGTGGTGTTATTTCCAGGTCTGTATTCATCTTGACCATAATTTGGGAGCATGGCAGCCACCAGCTGAGCAGCAGGAAGCAAAGGTTGCACCCTGCTTTCAGAACAGGGCTCGGTGCCTTCCTCATCAATAAAGAGCATTTCCCCTGGGGAAGCTGCCACGTCCCCTCCTGCTTGACTCTGCCACTTGGCCACTCCGGGACACTGCCTGAGCCTCCTCCTTTAGTGGAGCTGCTGTGACGTGAGCTGGTGGCCCAGAGGTCCCTTTGGTTATTTTATTTTATTTTTAATTATTTATTTATTGCACAAAGGGGAAAACCTCCACCTACGTTTCTTCTAACGGGAAATATTAAAGGGGATGCCGCCAACTTAAGAGCTAACTGACTTACCTGCCAAGGTTAGCACGCTGTTGCCAGCCTCTGACTGGGAGCACTTTCAATCACACCCCCCTTATAACTGCAGCTGCTGCCTCGGGCTTTCTCCTGTCTGCTCCACGATTCAGAGCCTCTGCAAAGGGCTCTGCTGTTTTTCTTGCGGTGCCTACAATAAGACCATATTTTCATGCCACACTGCAAACACCAAAGCCCAGATACACGCAGCTGCTTTAGCAAAGCCCACGGAGATGCTGAAATGCCACCCAGCGACCACAGAAAGAAACTGCTGCAGGTCAGGCCACGGGCTTTACCTGGTATTCATGGAACCCAGCTTTAGCTGTGCAAATGTTAAATATCTAAAATAATCACCTATGACCCAACACAGTCATCAGGGAAGCATGCAGTGGCCCAACCACAGGCTTCAATGCTGTTTTAGAGATCTTTGGGCATCTCACCTGGCCTCCACCTGCTGCTCCAGGCTGGAGGTCTCCTCTAGAGCCTAGGTCCTATTTTGCCAGCCCCAACAAATGCCACAGACTCCACAGGGTGTCTCTGTTGACACCTTTATGGAACTGAATCATGCCCCACAGAGATGCAGATTAGACAGGACCCCAGCAACTCTATTACACAAACTACACAGCTTGCTACGTATAGGAGCTAAATCCCACTCTGCGTCAAAAACTGCAGAGTTCTGGAGCACTCACCTACAGATCTATAGATTTACTTGTCATTTGTTTTATAACTACACATAGTTAATTAACAACAGGCAACAGTGGGTGGGATTTAGCTCCAGATTGTAGGCATCTGAAATTAGGTATGGAGAACTACAGCTTCATCCAGATGGCCTCTGCTAGCTATCTGCTGCCATCAGACTTCCCTGCCCCAAATGGTCTCCAGCTCCCTGTTCAGCTTTTGATGTACAGATGTCTACCCAATCTAACCCAAACTGTAAAGCATAAGGGGCCCAAATGCTTTTCATAAAACATCAGTACCTCTTTACCCTTCTGTGCGTGAACTACGCAGTGAAAAGATGATGTCTGTTGCTTTAGTACACGCTGAAAGTTTGCTTGCTATTGCTAAAGAAATTGGGTAAAATTTTTGCTGAATCATTTTGCTTGAATAAACTATACCAGAAATACACAAACAAGTCTTTGTCATTTGATCACCAGTACCTCCAAGAAATGTCACGTTTACTCGTTATGGTATGAAGTTCAGTCATTAAAAGAATCATTTGGTCAGTAAAATCAACTAATACTAATTTTGAGCAATAAAAAAATCTAAGCTTATAAAAATAAACAAACCAAGAGCCAACTCTTCAGCTGCTGAAAACTTTATTCATTGTTACTTTATACGCCTGAACTGTGAAGACTCGTACAAAAAAGATCCCCATATGGTTTTACCGATGTGAAAACTGCAGCTTCATGAATTTTAATCATTTTATTGTAAATATGAAGACGGGGAGTAAAACTGCAAATGAATCTACTGAAAGCATTTAACCTTTTGGAGATTATGTCATTATCGTTGCAATGAGGATTGCCTAAGACCTCAAAAAAATTTAAAAATGCAAATTTTATTCAAATCTTTCTGCAGAAATGTGTCCCATTTCAAGAACTTCACTGAGAAGTGAACTTCAGTTCAAACACTTGCTGTTTCATCCAGAAAAAAAAAATGAAATCAGTTCTTACGGGATAGAGGACTGTCTGTCTCCTCCACCTAGTGGGAATGCACCAAAGAGCAGGCTACTGAGAGAGAAAGAAGGGATTATAAAAACACATACTCAAACTGCCTTTGTAAGTAAAATTAAAAAATAAAATACTTCTTCTCTGTAGCAACCCCAGCTGCGACAAAGAATGCAGGAATATGATGAGACAAACATTTAAGCTGGAATGTCAGAAGCAAAAGCCTTCAGCAGATAAATAAAGCCCACGTGGAAGGTGTGTGCACATAACACGGCTCGCAGCGCTAGAACCCATGAAAAGCTGAGTGGCTTTTGCAAGATGCTATGTGAGGGTACCCACGTGAGGAGTGGGAAACATGAAGCCCTCCGGTAACATCTTGCAGATTTAGGTCCCTAATGCAATATAAAGTGTATTTGCTCTAGTTAGCAACCTGAGAACATTCTTTGGCTTTTTCCCCCAAGCATTTGCTGTTAAGTTAATTAAGCATTTAAAAATAACAGTCTCTCACCTCCCAGAGACTCCACATAAATATTACTCTGTCTTCTTCAAAGGGCCAGGTTTTCTGCAAGGGTAAATCAATACAGTTTCACTGATTGAAGATCTGGCCTTAAAAAGTCTATCCAGTGCATTAAAACCAGCGCAGCATGACATACGCCTTGGCAGTAGAACAGTTCTCCAGATTAATATTTGAAGGAAACTTTGGCAGTAAAATAAAAGCTCTGTTTTGAAATGCTGCCATTTTTTTAATCAGTGCTGACCACCACAGATTCCTCTCTCGTGAACTGCACGGTTACAGCCGGCGTTTGGCTGTCGTTTTCCTCAAGCTTCAGCCCAGCGTTGTCCAAGCCGGTGCTGTGCAGCTGCGGCACGGCAGTGGGCTCTGCAGTCCGAGTCGGAGTGGAGCAGTACAAGACGAAGCCCACCATGATGATGACGAAGGACAGGATATAAAGACCTGAAAACTAGCAGAGGAAAAAAGTGCATTAAGTCTTGTCTGATGCAGAACCGTGCAAATGCAGCCTTGGTTTAGGATGGCAAAAGCCACCCTCCCTGTTAAAAGTATTTTAATAAGGATTACCACCACTCTCTGCGTTGAGGTCTGGAAGACAAAGATGAGCAGCTCTATTCACTGATAGATTCAAGCCACTGTTTCTCTCTGCAACTCCTCCTTACAACTGTTGGGCAAATAATACATATAGGAATCCTAATATTTAGAACAAATGTGGTGACACCTAGGGATAGTTGTTCACACATGTGAATGCTGCAACACTGTTCCCCTCAGAGAATATTTTTTCAACACAAACATTTCACATCCCGGCAAGAGATGGATCTCTCCCTCCTTCTGCAAGTCACCAGAGCAGTTGGTCCTCTGCACAGCTCTTAACCAACTGCAGGGCCAAATAACTGTTATCACTGGTCCAAAATTGGCTTGTTCCCTACACCCAGCAAGTTCTTGAAGTGATGGAGATTGCGGCACCCTTTACAAGGTGGGCATCTCTGCTTCATACTGGAAATGAGCAGTCAGTGGTGTGAGGTGAGGATATGCACTGCTGAGGAACATCAGGCATTTGGATCACTATCAACTTGACTGTTGAAAGTCTAACAATTGCCAAGATCCATCCACCTTGAAAGAAAAACAAACGCTTACTTCATAACATCAAATTCAATAGAGCAAAGTGCTCAAGTTATGCACAGCCAAGAACACTTTCTCAGCAAGTTTGGTAAAATCTTCTCTATTGTCTTTGCCAAACCACAGATTAAGGAGTAGGATGATGGACGCAGTGCATCTTACATCTTACTGTCATGCCAGTGGAAGCAGTATCTCTACCCAGACTGTGGGGTGACAGTCTGAATTTTCAACACAGCCCCAGAAATTCCAAAATATACCCAAATCTCCTTAGCTTCTTTGGATTTCTTTGAAAAATATGTTCTGGTTTGTCAAGCAGCAGAGCTGGATGAAGTGAATGGAGCTGGAATGGCACTGGACTCTGATCCAAAACCACCTGAGGCATCCACAGTTAAGGCACTGCAATTCCTAGCTGGTAGTCACTTGGCCTGGAAACCTTTGGAAGGCACTGTGCAAAAGGAAAAGCAGCCTGAAGCAGCCAGGCCTTCTCGTATCTGATGCTGAACCTCGAGGCTGCTCAGAATTAACTCATCTCTGAGAGGATTCTGATTTTACTCTGTGCAGCTTATATCCCTTTATTCAATACCAAGCCTGAAGAGTACTTGAGGTGTTACTGGAGGAGTGCAACTCCATCTAGTGTCTGTATTTGCAGTATACTCTTCCCAAAGGAGTTTACACAACAGAAACACTTGGAGACCTTCTTTAATATCTCTTGAGGGACTGCAGATATCTGTATATAATGAGCTCATTAGGAACAGGCACAGAAAAGATTAGCTGTGGAGTAAAAGGAAAAAAAAAAAAAGAGCTTATCTCTTAAAAAGAGAGATGCAAAATTCACATTCCTCCTGAAATGGATTTAGTTGGGATGAAAAGTTGACAGTGTCACCAAAACACTGTGCTCAAGTCAAAAACTCAAATTCCTAGGCTCAGTCTCTGCTGTAGCCACTATACTCTTCTGCAGCTTCTGTTTCACAGCAGGCTCAGACACCAGGAGCTCAGAACTCTCCATGCCTCATTCAGGCCCGCAGCCCAGTCAAGGCTTGAGTGGTTCACTGCAAAATATCATCTGGTAATGGGCAAAATCTTTCTGTATTGAATAGAGTTTGATTCATTGCATTTTTATTTGATCTGCTCCCAGGAAAACCTCTTCCTCAAATAAGCTAAAAATCCTACAGTTTATTGTGTCCCTTCCAAAGCTCTTGCTTACTTCTTCCTCTTTTCTATTATGAACATAGATTTATAATGTATAAGGTGCAGTCTAGTTAGAGATGTCCCCCAGGGGTCAGTACTGGGTCCAGTCTTGTTCAGCTTCATCATGAGGGGCATGGATGAAGGGTCAGAGTGATGGCACAAAACTGTGAAGAGTGGCTGATAGCCCAGAGGAATGTGCTGGCATTCAGAGACCTGGACAGGCTGGAGGGTTGGGTGAAGAAGAACCTCTTGAAATTCAACAAAGAGAAGGGCCCTTCACCTAGGGAAGAATAACCCCAGTACAGGCACCAGTACAGGCTGGGGGCTGACCTGCTGGAGAGCAGCTCTGTGGAGAAAGACCTGGGAGTCCTGGTGGACAGCAGGTTAACCATGGCCCCTTGTGGCCAAGTAGGCCAATGGGATCGTGGTTGCATTCGGAAGAGTGTTGCCAACAGGCCAAGGGAGGTGATCCTACCCCTCTGCTCAGCCCTGGGGACGCAACACCTGAGCATTGTGTCCTGTTCTAGGCTCCCCAGTACAAGAGGGACATGGACATGTTGAAGAGTCCAGTACAGGTCTACAAAGATGCTTAGGGGACTGAAGCATCTCTCATATGAGGAAAGTCTGAGAGAGCCCTGAGGGTGACAGAGCACTGGGACAGGCTGCCCAGAGAGGCTGTGGAGTCTCCTTCTCTGAAGATATTGAAAACCCTCCTGGATGCCGTCCTGGCTACATGCTTTAGGTGACCCTGGTTGAGCAGGGGTTTGAGCTAGATGGTCTCCAGCGGTCCCTTCCAACCTCAGCCACTCCATGACTGTGATAATCACTTCTTCAGTTAAGCTATCTGGTGCTGAAACGTTTGAAAGTGACTTAGAAAGGGTATTTTTAACATGTAAGTACAGTTCATTTCCTACATTTATTTTTGATGGATGGTTTGTAGTTCTTAGCAATTTGGAGCAAATTTTGGAACCCCAAACAAGGAGAAAAGCTGAGCGAGGAGTCTCCTGAACACGAAAATCTAGCTGTCATTGGGTCCTATCATTACCAGACCTCTCTGCAATAAAACAAATTGGCCTTCGTCATCAGAAACAAGTCTGACATAAAAGCTTCTGGCTCTCCATAATGCTGAAGAGAAAGTAACCACGTGGAACAACACAAATTAAGTGTCTTAGGAAAAGCTCACAGGCTTCTCACTGAGCCCCTCCAATCACTGAGCAACTGACTTGATTTCTCCAGTTGCTGTGACAAGCTACGTTTCCACAAGTGATTCCTGAAAGTATAAGGAGCGTTGAAACATTTTTAGCACTGTCATTTAGCTCAAAAAGGCACTTCAAAAAGTATTTTAGGGAGCAGTAGAAGTAATTGGTTTTTGGAAAGCATAAGGAATAACAGATTTATCTACACTTTAGTTCATTTAGTCACTACTAAGCAGCAGTACTGAGAGAGCTCAAGTCTTCTGAGATGTTTGTAGTACTGAACAGATGAAATTTCTAACAGAAAACTGTGATTTCTCTAAATCACACTAAACTGCTACTCTTTCAGACAGATTCAAATCCTCCCTTTGGACGCTCAGAGAGATGAACCAAATCTAAAGTACAGCTCCACACAGGGAGTACAGCAAGAACTCCACCATTTACCTCAGGAAATTATTTACTGTCTCTCAACTAATGTATTCCATGAAGTGTAAAATTGTTTTTAAAAAATCATTAACTGCCTAATGGTGCAACATGAGTCCTGACTGACATCTGTCAGTGACAACTCATACAAGCTGTAGAAATACACAAGTGCAAACTATTGTTCAGGGGCTCTTAAAGTGCTCTCTCTCTAATTCTGGAGTAAAAACTTGATGTAAACTATAGGGAGAGAAAGACGTGACTTACTTTGTAGTAAAACAGGAAAAGTCCAAAGAACAGGCTGTAGAGGTCCGCAGTCAGAATGCCCAAGTTGACCGAGGTTGCACTCGTTACTTTAATCACTACTGGCATGAAGCTGTACAGCCCAAACATACACAGGGCAAACACTGCGAACAGCAACGCTGAAAAATAAGATGACAATTGACTCCTCAGGGATGGAATAACGATTTTAAAGAACACTGATATTCCTCAGATGTGTCAAAACTACGTATGTTCATCTTTCAGGATAAGGTGTCCTAAAAGATATGGAAATGTAAATTTAAGAAAAACGCAGCAAAAATATTTATCTTTCAAAACTACCCTGTACTGCAGAAATGACTATACAAGGTTGTTCCTTCCCAGCTAACATGACAGCCGACGAAAGAAATTTCGATCCATATTTCTTAATAATGTACAGTTCTGTATGTACAGTTCTGAGACCTAAATGTGCCACAGATCCCATTTTCCCAGTATTTCATCTAGGAAGAACCAGAGAAAAATATTCTTGCAATGTTCCAACACCAAGCACGTTTGTGATTAAAGGGGGTTGATTTTTGCAATTTATTTTGAAAAATGATTTCATGCTGTATGTAAAATGCAAAATCTGAGCTCAAAGTTCTAATGTTCGACCCTGCACTCTGTATGTCTTTGTTGAACTGCAAAGTTTGCAGAAAATAAATGTGCAACAATATGAATGTTACTTAATAACTACAGAAAGGAAATGAAAACCCCAGCATTTCAAGTCTAAATCATCATCATTTTTCTAGTGTTCTGTAAAAATGCACATCATTTTGCCAAACACATACCAATTTTCCAGTTCCATTGAATTCTCATTATATCCCTATGTTCCACGATGGCTCTAGAGTTAGAGAAAAGATATAATATAGTAAAAAAGGAAAAAAAAAAAAACACACATTATATTGTATTCAAGGAGTGAATTTAATTAGCACAATATACAAGAAACATTTTGATTTGTAAGCCCTTCATTTTTGTTTGAAATGTTATTGAATAGCAGTAACTCCAACCTCTAACAAGCATAAGGAAAGACTTGAAAATTAAAGTGCCTGAAAGTCAAGAGCACTTTTATTGAATTCTCATGCCTTCTTCCCAGGCCTTTTCATCCTTCAGATTCATTCTTATTTGAAATATAATTTGAGGAAATTATTAACTATAATGATGAGAAATGAGGAACACAAAATTCATTAGATAGGCTTAAGTGTATGTGGTCTGTTCCTCTAACGAGGTTATTTGTAAAAGTATACATGGCTTCATTTGAAACTGAAGTTTAATACGGACGACCTCCTGCTAATGATTATCTCCTAAAACTATCCACTGAGAAAAGCCATTAGGAAACACATTCCCGCAAGCAGTCCTCAGCGAGCTGCATGTCCTCATCAAGGTCAACAGATCGAAAATAAAGCCAAGTATCACTTGTACTCAATTGTAGGATCTGAGCTTTACAATTGCTGTAATAAGAGCAGTGCAAACCAAAAGGATATAAAACGGATGCTGATCAGCAACAAAAATAAAATTCAAATAGAAGGACTCCAACATAGCCCAAATGCAGAGGCAACAAAGAATTAACAACATTTCATTGAAGACAAGCAATCATCTGCAGAATATTCTTAATTAGTTTTAAAATAAATATTAGATCCTTACAGCTGTAGACCGCTGATAATAGTCCCAAACAAGCCCACCATTCCTAGAAACTCCACTCTGCTCAGATTTTTCACAATGTATTCCTCACTCACATTAGATATGGCATACAAAGAAGCACCCAGAAGAACTAAGACATCTCCAATCACCACGTCACTTCCTGTACAGAAATATTAATCCACAATAAGGGTAATGCTGCAAACACTTTTGTTTTAAAAACTAGACAAGCAAATTTATCTCTAGCATCTCTATTTTCCTTGCACTTTTCAGGGTAGGGGGGAGGGAAACATCTGTGTGCAGGCAAGTTGCTGGCTGACTCTGCTAACTGCTCACGTCCCCCTGTACAGTCTGGAAGGAGCTGAACTTGGCATTGAAATCACATCCTGACCAAGCTGCTGTGTAGGTCCAGGTCTGCTTCTGCTGACATTAGGTGCTGTTGGAGCTGCAAAGCCCAGGTTAGAGATGCTCTCTGCCTTGCTGAACATCATCCCGCCTTTTGCCATAAGGCAAAAATCCATCTATTGATTTCAGCGGGACCTGGACTGCGCTTCAGGCTTCTGACAGATGGTAAGTGGGCGCTGCAGACAGGTGGTATCAGGTGTCACACTGAGCTATGTGCACGCAGGGCAAGTGGGACTCCCTGTTACCCAACCGGTCATCGAGCAAATGCCATTGTGCATCAGCTGAACAGCAAGGCAATTGCTGTTGTTTAAAGCCTTGAATTGATTTCAAATTTCCTACCCTGAGCCAGTTGGCAATCACTGAAGAGATATGTCTGGAATCTGAGGGTAAGCAATAGTAAGGACATGCAAGTTGTGCACAACGGGCCTAAAGTCTAAGGGAAAGAGGATTTTTCTCCCTTAGGGCCAAGAGGTTTGTAGCACACAGCATTATAGCTAAACCTGTTTGTCCTTCTACCTTACCAACAGCAGTGACCCCAAAATAAGGCCAAAAGGCTTAGTTTTATGCTGCCTGATGAAGGTAATGCTACTTTCCTGCCCCACTGAAATTTGCCTTGCCTCATACCCTCTGGCTCTAGAAATTCTCAGTTCTTATTCAAAGTAAGATCACTGGGGTTCTGGGCATCCTTCCTCCCTGCTCCTCTTGCTCTCATGCCATAGGGCAGCACTTTCCAGGTTGGGGACCTTGGGGACACAGGGACTATTTCTGCTGGGTCTGCCAAAGACAACCAGAGAAGCGAGCCTATTGCTAAGTAGCTTCTGATTTCCTATTTGTGCTCAGAGAAAACGCCCCACCAGCAAAGTCTGAAGCATCTTTTATCAGACCCCATCATATGTAAAATGAACAAGCTTTTAAGAATAAGGCCTGTCATCAGGTTTCATAAACAGCAGCAAAATTTAAGCTTATCGTGAGGGTTTCCCTTTTAAGGTGGAAGAAATAATCCAAAACCACAAGCAAACAAAATTTCACAGCTCTCTATAAAACCAACATCTCCTCAGCCTCTATCTTGTTGAAGAAGAAATACAAATAGCAGTGTCTCTTCTCCTTTTCTTAAAATCAAACTACATCTTTTCCCCCTGCATTTGCCTCTCTTTCTCCTTTGCAAGTTGGACAATCACGGAAACTGTGACCCCTCTTTTCCCCCACGTGATAAGTAATTCCTTACCTTCACTGTCTTGCCTCCCTGCCAAAATGTCAGCACCCACCATTGTTCCCACACCCAGCAAGCAGACGGCAACTGCGATAAAATGGATCAGTCGGTATCTTGCGCGGAGGATGAACCAGGACAAAGCCATCAGCACGGGGATCCCAAAACAATCCAGCAGCTGTGAGCACAGAGAAATGAGTTTCACTAGAAGCCCATCCCACATCTGCATTTCACTGTCCTGAAAGTGAACATTCAGGATCTTATCTTCCATCATCACGAGATGTCACTGAAAACCACAAAACAGCCCCCATGTGTTTGTTTAAATGCAGGAGGGGTCAGACCCACGTCTTACCATGAAAAGCACATTGAGAGCAAAGGGTCTTGGGGTGGAGAGGAGGCACTGTCCCCTCTCTCACTGACCTAGAAACTCTTCCTGTGATGGATCTCATCAATCCTAGCAGCTTCCCAAATGAATGCTAGGACATTGCAGTGAAACCACACTGCTCCCCGTGACACCAATGCGAGGAAGTGGCTCACCCACCCAAATCTGGACCTGCTAACAGACACAGCTGATCTGATTTTACAGCAAAGTGAGGAAGGCAAAAATCTGACTCTGCAGTTTTGTTAATTCTTTTTTTCTTCAAGTGGATCATACCAAAAAAGCACTGGTACGTGTGCTGGAAGCCATGTGCTAAATTGCTGGAAGGAAAATAGGATGGGAGGAAGAGGTTTCCTAAGCCACCTTCACAATCTTCCAGCTTCTCAAAGTCATGTACAATCCACCAGTGTTTTTTCAGCCCACCTCAGCCAGAAGCAGGTAACTGGAATTTATCCATGCCACAGCAGCAAAGACACACAAGGCAGCTGGAGTTCAGAAGCACTTCAGATGTGTTTGCAGACGTTGCTCTGAGCAGATTTAACAGCCAAAGTTCAAGGATGCCTGCACTCCATGACAAACACTGGCTTCTCTTTCCTTTCTTCATTACCCCCTCCCTGTGTGTTCCCCAAACCTTCTGTATCTTTGCCTTGCTGTTAGCCTCACCCACGTTATGGGTAAGAAAATAAAAATCAAAAATTAGCTAACCACTTAATGCAAAAAAATAGGTAACAGCATACAACAGACTTAATGTTCTGTAATAACCAAATAATACCAAGAACACTGAGCTAATCATAATTGGTTCAATATTTAATTCAACATAATAGATTCTGTTTCCAAATTTGTCTAGGGAAAAGAGAGGTGGATTTTCTGAGTACCGTATAGAAGGGACCAGGCTATAGCAGACCAGATAAGTCGGCCTTCCAAAGACTGCTCACAAATTACTCTTAAATGTCAACCTTTAAATCCTGGCCTCCTGAAGTCAATACCAAGTGTTAGGTTCAGGTCACTATGACTGTGGCATTCCAAACCAAGGCAAGAGTCCCCTGTCCTTCTGTAATGTTCCTGTCCAACTTCTGCCAGCTTCTACCCACCACCACGGTCTTCTGCTTCTGTTAGTTCAGCCATCACCCACAAGGGTTACAAGCAAACTTTCTTAAGTCTGTTTTTACATTTGTAACTACAAACATTAAAGCCTTACCAGCACAGCATTAAGGGGGTTGATACAGATTAAATCCTAATGGTTCTCTCTAATCCTTCCATTTATTTGTCTTTGTTTCTTGGATTGTCTCCAGCTTGTTCAGCTTCAGAAGTCTGTGTAAAAGCACAGGTACTTCCCAGGCTGTATTATCAGACATTAGAAGCACACAAGTCATAATACATGTATTATGTATTTTTGTATTGCAATACAACTTTGTTCTATTGAAAAAGTATCATGCTGTGAGTTTCTATCTATTCATCATTCTCTACCTCACCTTTTGTCTGGGTTCAAAAAAAAAAAACAAACAAAAACACCAAAATGACAAAAACTTGTAAGACTTCCTCCGAATCTGGCTGTTTTGACAAGTATCAAGAAGCGTCTGTTTCAGCACCATGTATGATTTAGCTTTCCTAACTCTGTTTTTTCACCTCTGGTCTGAAGCACTTCTGTCCTGAATACAGAACTGTATTTGAAAGCACTAAGTTCTAACCAAAGATCTCTGGTGTGAAGTTGTAATAATGGAAATGAAGAAATATTACAAAAATAAAGGAGCAAAATGTGTAACCCTCTCATAGTAGACATCTATTAACAAGTAAGCTTTCATCCCCCATTTATCGAGTTGTTATTTTGCAGCTTTCTAACCTCCAAGCAGTTTTTCAACCCAAACAGAAAGAGCGGAAGAAAAAACCCTTCAGTAAAAAAAAAAAAATAATACTTAATTAGGATGTAAGGAAGTAGTAGATAATGTCCTCTTTCAGTAACACCAGATGGGGAACTGCTGCATCCAGACCAATAACATGCCGTAGAGCTACCGCATCCTGGTTAGTGGACTAGCAGCCAGGACATGCAGGCACCAAATGATGAAGAACACACGCTGGTAATCTGTTGCAGGGGACAATTACCCTCAATTACAGCCAAAAAAATCTGATTTCCAACTACTGGATCGTGACTTCCCTTCATCTACTACGTTACTAAGCTCTTTGGTGGAAAATGCTCTCTTCTGTACAGGATCAAGATCAAAGAAGTGCAAAGCAGATGCAACATGGCAATGAATTCTGTCAATGGAACCATTTAAAAGAATGAAGTTTATTTATTCCAGATTCGTGACACTTCCACCAGTACCATGGCTCTGATTACTATTGCCAAACTCTCATCTTCCTCTATCCTAGCATGCATCTTTACACAGGGGAAAGAAAAAAAAAAAGATAACCTGTTGATTTGATTTACGAGTGTTTTGCCTCAAGACAGGCTTTGGCCACACTGTTTATAGGAAGGTTTTAAAGGTAGGGCGAGTAAATTATTAAAAGACGTTTTAATACGTGGTTAATCAATTATCACAGATTGCTGGAGGTTGCTGGTTTGCTGTAACTGCCAGCCCCAGACAGCTTTGAGAGCACTGAAGCTCACCAGCTCCTGCTGCTCGCTTCCCCACATGCCTTCCAAAGGGCAGCCTGCAGCTGAGCCCCAGGGGTTCACCCCGCAGTTCCTCCTGTTGAGGTTCAGACTCTTGCACAAGCTGCTCTGCCTATAAAACGTCCCCATCTGAATTATCAATGGAGAGAATGCTAATTGTGCCTCCTAATGTGCTGACAACACGAAGCCACAGCTGCACTGCTTGCTTTTTGCTGTGAAATGTGTGGTCAAACAACAGCACAGTCGGGTCCTGCCTCCAGCCTGGAGCACACCAACGCTGAGGAAGTCTCACCCAAAGCAGAGACCAAAGTCATTCTCTGTTTTTACAGAGCAGAAAGCTGCCATCCTGATGTTATCTCTGTAAAAACCTCCCAAACCCCTCCTTGCAACACTAGCCTTTGATAACTAAAGAAAAACTTTTTTTTTCCTGTGTTTGTGTGAAAATACATGGAAGTTCCTTGCTGAGCGGAAACTTCTCTTTGAAGAAAACCACTGGGCTGAGCTAAGCTCCAGCCCGCCAGCATTTTCACAACAATTTCACTGTACTCAGGAAGGTCTCATATACCCCTGCTTTGCTCTTTCACTCCCTGGGCATCCATTTACAGCCACTACTAAGGCCAGAAGCTCTGAACGACAATTCTCACATAACTGCTGAACTGCTTGCTGCTGACAGAGAGCAAAAGCCTTGTGCTGGAGCAAATCATGGGCTTTTCTTATCCTGAATCTCCTTTCTGACAGTGCTGAGAACCTGGTAACTCCAGAAAATGTGCAAGAAACCTGGCTGCAACAGGCAGTTGCAGCAAATTCACAGTTGCTGAACTGGCACTTGAAGCATCAGTCTGAAGGTTATCACAAGCGAAAAAGGTTCAGCAAATGCTTGAATTTGGCAACTGAACTCAATGACCCCCTGTACCTATTCTTTCTTAATTTCCATGAAAGAAGTCATGGGAACAGCTTTATTACTGCTGAGAGTTTGGATCAAAGTCCTGTCTTTTCCAGCAGTAAAGTACATGATCAAACAGTGTCTCAATTATCAGCTTAGCTTGGTCTTGAGACCGAAACATGTCATTCTTTAGACCAATTTCTGAAGCATTATTTGTAAGTAAATTAAAGGCTCAATGAGCCATAACACTTAACTTCAAAGTGGAAATGTGACAAGAAGAACCCATAAGGAATATTACCGTTCTTTTAACAGTGCAACGAAAAGTTACTGCACCTCCCTAAAAGGAGCCCAGACCGCAGGAGTTTATTGCTTTACGGGTAACTCTCTTAAATATTAACCCTTGTTACTTTGACTCTGTAAAAACACTGACACCTAAATACTCTTTTTCACCTAACAGCTAATTCTGCATCACGCAGTATGCCTTTATTCAGGTAAACGGGGCCATGATCCAAGCCACAGATCCACCACCAGTAACAGCAGGCAAAGGCTCGCACAGCTCCATCGCCCTCTGCTCTTGCTGCCGCGCTGTCCCCACCTTGTCCCAGCAGAAGCAGCTGATGTCCATGAAGGGTTAAAAAAAAAAAAATGCACCCTTGGTTCTTCTGCTGATTCAGGACAGGAGATGAGTCCTGGTGCAGCGATGCAGCACTGGCACTGTAGGGGGCATCGCTGTTAACTGGCACTTTGGGTGCCCAGCACACCTCCCTCCCTCCCATCTCTTACAGAGAGGGGTCTGAAGTGCCACATCTGAAAGCCTCGCTGCATGGTCAGAAACACCAGCTAACTTCCAGCGTGTCCTCATGTGTGGGATTGCATCTCACAAAGACTCCCACTGCTTCTAGGACTAGGCAGGAGATCTACTTCGCTCCCATCAGCAAGAACCCGAGCTGAGTCAGTGTTATCCAGTCCTAAATCTTTATTCTGTCTCATGAAAACAAAAGCAAAACAAAACAAAAAACCACCTGAGTGGCTGTCAGCAAACTCTTAGAAGTGCTTCTATCAAAATAATTAGAGTTCAACTCAAGAGCTGGCACTGGGTAATACCAGCCAATTTTCCCTGCTTCCTGGAAATGTTATTCATGAGGCAGGATGCTCTTCTTTGTACTGCAGAGAAAATAGATATTGAAAAGCCTTTTCAGGTTTAAATAGCTTCCCTATCTGTCCCATGAATCTCATTTCAGAAACAAAACTTTAATCAACGCAACAGTCCAGAAACTGGTCCTTACCTGCACGCTCGTGAGGGTCGTGTACTGGTAGGCTTTTACAATCGTGTAATTGGCTTCAACATCAGCCAGTCCCAAAAATAGGTACTTCCACCACCTCTGCTTCAAAATTTGAAGAAGACTGTCACCGTCTGTATAGAAGAAGGCAGCAATCAACATACTTCCTTGCATGGAAAGGAAAGAAACTTGCTTTTTAGAAGCCTAAGTAATACTGAGGTGATCAGTTTGGATTGTCCCTGCTTAAGAAAGGTATAACAACAGCAAAAGGTAGCCTGGGAAAAAACAGTACAAAGAGTGAAAAGCGCAGAAATCCTTCCATGTGAAAAGAAAAAAAAATTAGGAATGCTTAAAGAGTAAATTAATAATATAGGAACAATATTAAGTAGCCTCTGGTTAAAAAAAAAAATATTACAACAATTCCTACTTCCTCCTAATATAACACAGAACTTAAACCCAAATATAAGAATTTTAAATAGATATGAAGCAAAATCTAATTAATTGCATATTTAACCTATGAAATTCATTCCCGTATATTATTATAAGGCAGGAATTTCAGCAGGATCTTTAAAAAAAGAGGACAAATATTCAGTAAGTTCTATGGTTTCAAAATCTGAAAGGAAAAAGTTGAAGAGAAAGAAGAAAAAAACAGCATAATCTACCATCCCGTATTTCACATACCAGTCCTAAATGCCAGTATTGTTGTATAAACTAGAAGAAGCAGAAAATAGTTGATAAAACTTTGCAACATCGGAGTATTCACTTGGTATTGTTCCGCTAGGTACTGGCTTGTAACAGCAGTCCCACAGATAAACAAGGAGAGCATCTGGCCCAGGAGGATGGTTTTCAGAATGTGCCTGTAAATATAAAGGACAACACAGCAAGCTTAGAACCAAACGCTCAAGCTGGTTTTGAGAATGTTTGGTTCTTGTAAAGGGAAAAAGACGTTTTTTAGTTGGCAATTCTTTTTTGACTGCCTACCAGTGTTCCTCCATTCCAGCTCTGTGCTCTGTCTGCACAGATCTCATCCAACCCCGTGACAGCCAGTAACAATAGGTGAGGCTCAGCCCGAACCAGCAGTAACTGAGGCTGCAAAACATTTGCAAAGATCTTCACGCAGCTCAGCCCAATGAGAGGATCTGTTCTCATCACGAGAGATTTCGATAAGCGCAGCCTGAGTTACACCCTCCATCCTTTTTGCTCTGTTCTGTTACATTCTGGTATAGCTGAGGACGGAGTTAAGAGCATATTTTGGCCACAGACCACATCAGCTTGTATGATGACTTCTAAGTCCAACCCACAGCTGGGAAAACAACACCAACAAACCGCCTCATGCTCTTCTAGCAGCAATTCTTCACTTAATATAAAGTGGCCTTGAACTATTCTGGTTTTTCTCAGATGAGTAAGAGCACGCAGAGATGGCTGTGTATCCTGTGGTGAGGCTGGCTTTCCTGCCATGGGAGCTACGTGGTCGTGCCACCCTGGTCCCTGCCTGCCTTCCCACAGACGCTGTCCAGAAAGGTCAGCTCGATGCTGCGCTGCCTGCGTGGGTCTGCACAAGTTCACATTTAATTTGTTTACTCTGAAGACTACTGATGACAACTTAACTGCCTGCACAACTGATTTGGTTGTTGCTACAGAGTAATTGAGCAAGGAAAGAGCATCCCCACTAGGAATTTGCACCTCTCCACTTATAATTTCCAAGCCACTCCCGCGTGCCAGACACACCACAGGACAGACACTGGTTGTTTTTCCAGCGCGGGGGACTCCGACGCAGTAATTACCAGGTAACCCAGCCATGATGTGCAATCCGGCTGCCAATATCATCCATAGGAAGGGTGTGTTCTGGGGTGCTGAAGCCAACTCAGACGATGCAATCGATCCCTTCTTTTGGAGCCGACACATCATCTTTGCATGGACTCAAATTCAGCTGCCTGCATTTTGTTTTCAAGTCAGCCTGACCCCAAGGCCCATCCAGCTTTAGAAATGCTGCTAAAAACACTTCTGTCTCCAAATCCATTCTGATGAGAGAGCAAATCGCTGAATTCCAGCACTGCTGCACCTCCAAGAGACACAAGGCCCATGTTTTGCTACAGCTTGCCTTGAACATCCTAGCAGCTGTGCACATCCACGCTGCAAGTATTCATGTATCTCGTGGCAGCCTTTAAGATCCTATCCAGCCTGGTGTGAATGCTTCTTTCTGGCCCATGAAAGAACAAATGTTCTCGTTGCCAGCATTTGGAAGGCTGAAGTAAGCAAGAGAAACCATGTTTCAGATGGAAATTTATCATGGCTACTTTGTGGCACAGTGTTAACTGTAAATACTGCTGTAAAATGCACATAAAGCAGAAGCTGTGGTTTCTGGAAAAAAAGAAAGAAAGCTTTGGAGCTATCCCAAAAGCTATCCCATTTTTGTCATACTGGATTTTTTTTCACTCTAGCAAGTACCATCTGGTGAACAAATTAGCAAAGACTTCTTATATTCCAGCTAATCCTTCAGACTGATGCAGAAATGTCTCTTTATGGACACCCAAAGAACTCAGGCCATCAGGTGCCATTAAGAAGAATTCTTAATTAAAAATTTCAGAGCTGAGACTACCTCTTCTCTCCAGCAGACACAATCACAGCTCCCGGCTCTCCCTTTGCCAGCCCTGCGAACTCTGGCTCCTCTCATAGGTGGTAGGAGGACAGAAGAGCCACTGAAATATCAAGGAAGAACTAAGGTGGTGAACGAGAGTAAGGGAAAATGGGGTTTCAGTAACACAGGCAACGCCACCCCGCAGGCAGCTGGTATGTTTAATATGGGTTTCTGTGGAGCAGGTTTTTAAACATCCGCCCAGGCTAGGCAAGAGGCAGCTCTGCTTCACCTGAACTACTGCACCCTCTTTATCACCCTCTTTATAGAAGAGGCCTGGACTCTACCCGCTCGGTGTTTTGGCTGGGTACTGACCAGGCTCCGGTGAGAGGCTGAAAGGACAGAGAATTTGCTGTCATTCAAATTTGCTAAGCATTAATCAGCTTCAAAATCAGCTTCATTTATCAAAATCAAGGATGACCTGGTTGTCTCAGTGGAGCTGACCATCAGCTTTCATAATAACTAAGTTCCTCCAGTTTCAAGGACCTAAGGAATTCTCTCTTTGTATTTTTGCGGGTGGGAAGAGAAGCAGGTCCAGAAGCCGCAGGATTGTTTGCTTGGTGGTTACTGCACCAGCAAGCATTGCTATTTAGTTAATGTGTGCCCAGGCAATTCTACAGCGCTTGCTTCTGCTGAGATCAAATGATGCAAATACAAACACTGCTCACCAACGGTGGAAGTCCATCCTCAAAAAACATCCTGAGAACCCCAAAACACTGTATTTCTGGCAGCTTTCTCAGCCACGCATACAATGTGGGCCTCTTGCATGGATGCTCTGTGCCACGACGAGGTGGACACCTGCCAGGAAGCAGCAGCACGTCTTCCTCACTCTGTTTATCCAGGTATCAAAGTGAACTTCTTCCAAGCAGGATGCCTACAGGTACCTGTGGTGTGACGTGGCAGCGAGGCAGAGATTTGACACAGTAAGGTTGCTCATGTTAAACGTGTGCTCAGGTGCTTTACTTGAGCTTTAGGAATTCAGTGCTCACCAAATTCCAGCAACAAATGAGCAAACCTTTCCACAAAGTGTTCCTCTGCAAAAAATTTCAGAGTAAACTAAATCCTATTGGTTTCCTTTTGCAAGACAATTTCTCATGGGAAAAACGCTTCAGAGACATGCTTCCCTTCATTCTCATATTGACATGACTATTGATTACTGTGATTCTTATTAATAATTCACCTTTTCTTAAAATATATTAACTTTGCCATGCCAGAAATTGGTCCTCTCTGCCTTTTTTTTTTGTTTGTTTGTTTTTAAATGCATTGGTAAGGACTAAAACACTTGGGACTCTGGTGACGCAAGGTAAGTGGTCTGAAATGGCCTTTTAGTTTTATAGCTTATTTTTTTGGTAGTATTTTTGTTCTGTTGTTGTATTATTTTTTTTATGAGGGTACTTTGTTTTTTTTACTGCTTGATAATTAGCTACTCAGTAATTATTTCTCCTCTCCATTTAAACAGTGTATCTTATCTGACTATACCTGTAAGCAGCTGAGTCCTTGAATTTGCAGAACATATGATGATTTCCCACAGAGGCCAGTGCTGACCAAGCCTATTCAGGGTGCAGCTCTCAACACCATGAGAAAGGCAGAGTGGCTTTCTGTGGCTCTATGTGAAATGCAGAGGAAAAATACCCCAGGATACTAAAATATACTGAGAGTCTGTATCTGAGGAAGTCAAAGAAAATCTGTTAGGCCCACTGTTAACAGTTTTAGTGGCTATTTTAATAAACCCTATGATTTCAATCTAATTTTTTTCCCCAATTAAAACAAATACTGCTTTCCTTTCAGTAATTAAAATTTATTTATGCCAGAAGTTAAACAGTAATAGGTAACACTTGGCAACACTCCATGTAGACAGCTTACTCACATTTCAACTTTAACTACTACTACTACTACTGACCCCTTCCTGAACAAGAAAAACAAAAAGGAGACAGACTTTCATTTGAACAATCCCACATTGCCATGTGAATTGATATACAAAAATACAGGTTCAGACTGAAGCCATATTCCAATATGATGAGTAGATAATTCAGGAGAGAAAAAGGTTTTTTCCAGAGTTACACTTTTCAGTGTTTTAATACTCTACTTTGAAATCGAGGTCAATTTAATTTGTAAAAGGTAAGGAACTGGAAGAAAAAAAAAAAAACAAAAAAACTTTTGCTTCAAGAACCAGAAAGTATACTACCTATGTTTTTTCCCCATGTATTAAAAAAAAAAAAAAAAAAAAAAAAAAAAAAAAAAAAAAAAAGTCCAGCTCATTTATTACATACAAGCATCAAACCTCCGTATACTCAGGCTTCTAAGAAATCTCAGGTGGCTGAGCCTCCAACCACCTGGAAAAAAAAATAAAATTAAATTCAGTAACTCAGAGAGGACCTTGCAGAAGTCAGCGAGAGCTACTTATTTTCTTTCAAGTACCAGCAACAGGCTCAGTACAGCCCTTTGGCAACATTTTGGCAAAACCACTAGTACAGGTGAGGTTCCTGAGCTCCTAATTCCAGTCCTATCCTGCCTTTTGAGGAATTCCTGGCATGCAGGAGGAACTGGAAGAGGAAAAGCTTGTAACCAAGAACAGAAAGGCGGGTTTTACCCTCTGGAATGGGTCTGTACCTGACCACACACAGCCCTGTGAGGTTCAGGTGTTAAGTGTGATGCTGGCAGGACAGCAAACGTCCTGCTTGTCAGCTGAGGGTACCTGAGGACTTCACAGAGACTCACCTGCAGCCCTAAAAAGGTTTTTAAACAGAGATCCCCTCCAAATGAAGGCAAAACGTGTGGGCATGGGGTAGTTCTCACAAGCGGTTTATGCTCGCTGAAGGCAGCCCTTGCCCTGCACACGGAGGCATGCGGCACCTGCACAGCCCGGTGGGCTTCTCCCCCCAAATTTTCTGTGCTTTACCAGTGCTGCCAGCGGAGGTGATACACATCTCAGGGGCTCTGTCCCAAGCTGATTCAAGGGATAAGGGGATGGGAGACCTTGGTCTCTGTGGGCTCCACACTCTCAGGTATTTTCTGTTACCTCTCTCCCCCCACCCCCTTTGCCACAACGCCGCTAAAAAGAGAAAAGCACGGCTAAAGAGCAAAACATCACACTAAAACAGACCTACCAAACCCAACCCAACGACCCCGGAGCAGCCCGGCCCCTCTCCACGCCGGGAGCTGCAGCCCAGCGCTCCCCTCAGCGGGGCTCCGCTCCCCCTCAGGCTCCCCCCCGAAGCCCCGCAGCCTCCTCCCCGTTCCCGATGGGGCTGAGCAGCTCGGCGAGCAGCCCGGCTCCACGTGGAGGCCGGCAGCTGCCGACTCACCATGTGCACAGCTTGGCCCTGAGCTGCGCCAGCAGCCGGCGCCGAGGAGGAGAAGCAGCAGCGGCGGCCCCTTGGGGCGCCTCAGCCCCGGCCTCGGCTCCGGCCCCCGCAGACTCCATGGCGCGGCGCTGCCCCGCAGCCCCCTGCCCGCCGTGAGGGAAGGAGCTCGGCAGCGTTGCCTGCCGGCCCTGGCCCAGCTTTCCCTTCGCTAGAGGCCGGGCCCAGCTTTGTGCCCGCCGAGGAGCCGCCCGCCCCCAGGCGGGGCATGGCTCGTCGTGAGGCGGGAGGGTTGTGGGGATTCGTGTGTGTGTGGCAGGAGTGCCCGAGCTCTGCCTTCCTTGGGACCAAGTTACCCCAGAGTCGTAGGTTTGAAGTGATCTCTGCCGCAGCTCCTCCAAGTCTCCAGTTCGCACTGATGAGCTGCATCCAGAAAGATTTAACCCTGCCCTCGTCCTCTTCACCCACAGCTCTCACAGAATCACAGAATTGTCTAGGTTGGAAGAGACCTCAAGATCATCGAGTCCAACCTCTGACCTAACACTAACAAGTCCTCCACTAAACCATATCCCTAAGCTCTTACATCTAAACGTCTTTTAAAGACTTCCAGGGATGGTGACTCCACCACTTACCTGGGCAGCCCATTCCAATGCCTCACAACCCTCTCAGTAAAGTTCTTCCTAATATCCAACCCAAAACACCCCTGGCACAACTTAAGCCCATTCCCCCTCGTCCTGTCACCAGGCACGTGGGAGAACAGACCAACCCCCACCTCGCTACAGCCTCCTTTAAGGTATCTGTAGAGAGCGATAAGGTCGCCCCTGAGCCTCCTCTTCTCCAGGCTGAACAAGCCCAGCTCCCTCAGCCGCTCCTCGTAGGACTTGTTCTCCAGGCCCCTCACCAGCTTCATCGCCCTTCTCTGGACCCTTTCGAGCACCTCGACGTCCTTGTAGCGAGGGGCCCAAAACTGAACACAGTACTCTCAAGTACTCTCAAAGTAAGATTAAAAAATAGAAGAATTATCATCCACTACACATGTTGTCATATCTGATCCCTACAACTGAGGTACTATTATCTTTGCCTTTCATTTTATTTGTCATATATTTGCAATCTGCTGCAGATTCACCAGCGATGGGGAATCATGGGTTTGGTGCTTTTGGTCTCCACCTAAGCTCCACACTAGGAGTTCAACAATCCAGGTAGGCTGCAGCTGCCCCACACCTGGGGGCTGCTCTGGTGTAACAAACTCACTGTCTTTGGAAAATTGTATGGTTTGTGGGTAAGCATGGCCATGAACACAGAGATACTGGGATATCTAGGAGCCAGGAGCTGGACTCAGTGATCTTTGTGGGTCCCTTCCAACTCGGGATATTCTGTGATTCTGCGATGACTTCGTGCTGAGGCACTCCTGCTTCAGGCTCCTGCTCTTTACCACAGTTCTGTGTTCACCTCAGGTGTGACCAGAGCTGCATGGTGCTGGTGAGGCCAGTGACAGAGACATGTCCCATTCAGCCCAGGACTGGCATTATCGCTCCCTTGCGCTGCCTCACAAGCAGAAACTTGTGTGTGAACACAAAGGCTGTGCATCCTCCTTCAGCTGTGACAGCTCCGCTCCTGGAGATCTACCAAAGCAACTGGGCTCACTACAATGTGGTTTACTCTGTCTTTACCAGGGCGAGTGGTTAAGTTTAACCACACTCAGGATGCATTTTGATTTTCAATGGTCCTCTAAAATAGGATACATCTCTTTTGACTTTGAAAATCATGGGTAAAGAACTATTAGCAATGTATTTGCAGAGTTCTTTAAAAAATGAGGTATATTCAAGATTTATGTCAAACTATTTCAAAGTCTCATTGAAAGAACTGAGAATCTAAGTATTTCTCACAGCTGGTTATCTTCTAGAATGGTTAGGGGATACTCCAAAAGTAATGGCATAGCTACTTTTCAAAAGATAAAAATACAGATGAGAGGATATAAAAGTATTAGCACAGCCATTACAAATGAGACTCAGATGTACCTCGCATATCATTATCTGTTTTCTTGTCCTTTTTGTTAAACTTTGACTTCAGTGTGTTGGATCAAGCTGTTAATGCTGCTAAGACAAACTTAAGTTTCAGCAGGTGATAAAAGTAGGTGGGGGGAGGAGTCTCTCCTGGCTTCTTCCTAACAAAATCTGCTCCACGGCTGGAGTCAATCTGTTCTCTCTCACTGTGCTATTTGTGTATTATTTTCAATAATAGCAGGTAAAAACAAATAACATAATTTTTAAGTTGACAGGATCTGATTTAAATTCCAAGGAACTTAAAGCAAAGTGCCATTGTACACCCTGACACTTTACCATATATTGCTATTTTCTGGTTTTACTTTATCTACGGCAAGAAACACAAAATATACAAAATATTGTAGATGAACTTAAAATCTGAAACTGCTGCTGTGGTTCCTAATAAAATTATGAGCAAGCAAAATTGTGAGTTTTTTTATCAAAAGCATTTATACCACTAGAGGTCCTTCATGGTCAGATTATGATTTCTTACACATTTTTTTCTCCACTTCTTTATGCATACTACATATGAGGATTACTGTCTATAAAGAAATTTATTTTGTTCATTATAATATAATCTTAGAAAAATGGTGATTTTTCTTGCTGAATTGTTTTACAGGAAGAAAAACAAAAGAGTATATGGATTTTTTATATAGAATATTTTATATAGAATATTTAATGGAAACTCCTTTTTTATGAAGTAAAATGTAATTTTATTTTGTAGCTCAACAACTGCACATTTAACATTTCCAATTTTTCATCAACTTACACTCTGCTTCTCCAACAAAACCTCTCTTCTGTTAGAAAAAAATAAATAAAAAGAAGCGAAGGTCAAACTACTGAGACAATTCAGAATAAACAATTCAAACAATAGAAAAATATATAAGGTAAATTTTGTCTGCCTTATTTTCGTGGCTTTCTTCATATTTTTCCAAGTTAGAAGACGGTTGATAATGTTTGAAAACTGAAAGAACTGTGCAACCTTGGGAACTTGGGTAGTAGGACTGAGATTAGATGTATCTTTGCAAAACACAATACCGCTTATCTGGAAACCAGTAACAAAGATTTGCAGCGTA